TAAACAATCACTTGGCCATTTACAACTATTTTTTTTCTAGCTAGGTGTTAGAAATAGTTCAATACACAGTTGCCATAGAAATAGTGGGAAAAGGAATGAAGAAATTTGCAAAGGATCTTTCTGTGGGACCTTGTGCCACATCACAAGCTAAGTCCTTGCTGTTACTGCCTTTAAACTTTAAGCAGCTGTGGGTATAATATTATATGATATTATAATATAAATATAAATAATAAACAATCATATGTATATTTATATGTATATATATTTATATATACATATAAATATTATATATTTATGGACTATTTATGCCCGGTTTCTTGGCATTTTGAAGTCCTCATTCTCTTCTCAGAGTCCTGGCACAACAAATTTCTTCAGGACTGCTCCACATGTGTACCACTAGCAAAATGGTGAACAGTATCCTCAGAAGCAGACTCATCAGATAATTTAAGTGGATGTGCAACACAAAAGGATCTTACAGTGTTGGTAGTTCAGTCAGCGGTGATGCCCGTCAGCTGTTGTTTGTTTATTGTCTGTCAGTGAGTCCATGTTCCAGTCTCTCCATAAATCTCGCTCTTCTCATGAGGTATATGGGAATGCATTTGAAACCTACAACATTTGTAATATTGTATTTGGGTGAGGTCTTCAAGATGAGACACTCACATGCATACGTACCACATAAGTATTTCACTTTTGTGCTCCTTAGGAAATCCAGGCTTAAAGGACTAGTGTAATCTATGGATGTGAAGAGATAGAGGGAACTGATTTTATGTTTTTATCACAACCCTGGGGAGAGTGGCTACCAGTTGGGAAAAATCAACTGGAAATAACTTATTTTAAAAGGATGTTTAAAATTTATCCAGAGAAAAATCAAGATAGTGACTGGTGAACTGGAGAAAATGCTTTCCTGGGTGGAGGAAATTTTGTCTCTTTGCCTCACCAAGAATGGCAAGAAGGGTGTTGATTACATGTATTTAATACCAAACCTGAAAAGGCCACTAAAACTATCAGGCAAAATCCCCTAAAGATTAAGGGAGGAAGATGCAAACCTGATAAGTTAATGATTAAGAGACAAAGACATGCATTTTTATTAACAATGAAATGATTACACATGAAAGGAAGAGGATAGTTCAGACTTTCAAATCACAGCTGGCACATTCTCTTTCTGGAGATGGTCTTCTGCCATATACAAGTCATTTATTATCAATATTATGCTCTATATAGTTTAGAAGGTCAGCTTAGATGGTGTAATGGTTACATGTAGTGGTAAACTGTGAAGACCTATTGTTTGTGACCAAGGAGAAACTCTTTCACTTAGTCACATTTGATTTTTTAAATATGGGCAAAAAAATGCTAATTGATACTGCTGCATGTCTTGCTGCCCCTGGCTGGATTAATTTGTGTCCAGCTCAGGGAATTCAATGTGATGAAGTGATTCTGAGTTGCCTGTTTTGCTGGAACCCATTCCAGAATGTGGTGTGGCCCTCTCTGTTCAGCCTCACCATCAAAGGTAGGTTACCTGGGGAGTGCAGTCCCATACCTGGAAATATGTTACTGCATCATTTCCAGTGTGACATGCTGTCTGCTAATGAGTGAAATACCTAAAGATCCAACCCTTTGTATGAGATGTTTCTCTGATGCTTCATAAGATGAGAAGAGAGACTTTTTCTGCCATTGCCATCTGGTTCTCTGTTGCTCCTGAAATCATCCATGGGAGCCCCCCGCTTTTAAGGGTATGGCTGCATGGGTATTATTTTAACATAGCCTCTTTTCAGCATTTACCCTTCTTTAATTCATTTTGTCGTGCTCCGTGTTTTATATTTAATTTCTATCTGAAGTGTTTCAACTCAACTTGGCTTTTAGCTTAATGGAACATATTTTTTTTACAGAAATCATTTGAGTTTTAAAACAGAGATGATATGACCTTAAAAGTACAAATAGCAGGTCAAATGCAATTGCCACTTAGAATCAAAAGGAGGAAAATACATAGCTGTCATTCGAATGTTTGTGTACCTTTTCTTGTGAGACAGTGTTATGAGATGACTTCTTTGTGTATGTCACCTCTTTGGCCAAATTCTGCTTTATTTCTTCAATGTAAATCCAGGATAATCTCTTGGACTTTAACAGTCATAATTTGCTTTATCCTGATAGTAACTGAAAGCAGATTTTGACCTGAATTTTCCAGTGTATCTCTTGCTCAAGTATCCTCCCACTGAAGATGGTGTCATTATGGTTGGGGCCCTGAGTGTGCTAAATGGATTTTTTTCCTTAGCTCATATATCCGTCACATCATATGTGTTTGATTTACTTACATTTTTCTTACATTTAATCTCTGCCCATTTAGTCATACTTACTGTCATTTTTTATTTGTTCAGTAACTCAGTGCAGCTCAAAAAGGTAACAGGAATGGATAGAGCATAACAAGTTGCAAATAGATTCTGTGCAGACCTGCGCCTTGCTGTGTTTCAGCTTTTACAGTTTGGTTTATGGGGTGGATTGTTTATTCAAATTCTAGGTTTATATAAGAGTGTTTAACAGCAGCTGTAAGTGTACTACAGAGAAGTATTGAAAATGTTTCTTATTTATTTTTATTCTATTGTTTGTAAAGTCCTCCAGGAGTTTCACAAAAAAACTCCTTTGTACTGCTAGGCCCAACATTAGCAGTGTAATGGGCTCAAAATGGAGAGGATCCACACAAAATTCAGACTGTCTTCATCACCAAGTCTTTGGCAGATGTGGGCAGAAAAAAAATTAAAAACTGCCTTTGCTGCCTTTCCTCTCCGAGAAAGGAAGAGAGGCATCCTCCTGGCAATGCCTCTACTGGTAATACTCCTAGTAAAGCAGAGGGAAAGAGATTTCCCCAAGAGGCAGCGTTGGATGGTAGGTTTTTTAGAGGACAGGGGGTAGCACTCATCTGTTACCACAAATTTTTAAAGCTCAGGTGATGAGATGTGCCACACTCTGTTACTCAGGTGGCATGCCAAGGCAGCAACCCTACAGCTCTGCTGGTCTGCCTTGTGACCAGGGTTAGCAGAGGCCAGCAATGCTGGGTAACTTGTGCCCATGGGGAAAGGGTGTCTTTTGGTTCAGGCCTATCTTGTGCTGACTGCATATTGAGCCTTTCTTGCAAAGCCAGTGCTGAGGAGGAAATGAAAATTAAAAGCAAATTCTTACTGGCTGCTAGCACGGACCTGCTAAGGTAGCTGGCCAAATAAAGCATCACCATGACAAAACTTAATTTGATGCTAGACCACTGTGTGACAAGAGTAAAAAGTTTAGGTACCATGTAGTCTCATTTCATGTATACCTACTGGGACATGTGGCCTCTCCTGGAAGACTTGGCACTGGAAAATGAGGCTGTGAATATCCCCTCTGCAGCCACCAGCTGTGGGGAAAGCAGCAAAGCCTGGTGAGTCTGGTGGGCTGTGGAGAGAATCCAGCCTTCACCGCTCTATGCACAGTGTACGGGGGTGCTGCTTGCACACTGCCCAGGGGCTCTCTAGCAGGTGCCAGCTGGGTCTGGTGGAGATCTGTTCCTTGGGTGTGCTGCCCACTTGATGACGGCCGATGGGTGGTGGATTGCTCTCTCTCCAAGCTGGCTCCAGCACCACGTTTCCCTCATGTTCACACGCACCGATATGAAGTGTATTTACGTGCAGTGAGCTCGGGTTAGGTTGCTGTAGGCTTAAGGTATGGGACACACATTTTCTTCTCTTGTAAACTGTGATCCTTTTATCCAAATACTGGTGATGGGAATAGGGACAGGCTGTGCTGTTTCTCCATACTGATGTTATCATCAGCCCTCCTCCTTTAGCCATAGAGGCAAGGTGATTTTCTGTAAGTGGTCACCTGGTTTGGAATAGGCTTGTGACCAAGTATGGAGGCAGGTGTCGGTCTGCATCTGGTTAGATCCTAAATTATTGCCAGGGTTAAGTTCTGGTCCCTGCAGTTGAGCAGCCAAGGTGAGATTTTCACCCTTGCAGAAGCCAGACTGATGCCTGTACTCTGCTATTTAATTCACTGAGTTTAGAATTTAAGTTGAAAATGGGCTTCTTCCAGGCAGGGTTAAATTTAAGTGTTTGCAAAGACAGCTAAGTGCACTGAGGTTAAAATCATCAGCAGATGCTGTCTGGATTGTACAGTTTCAGCAACACTAGCTGTCCACCCTATTGGCAGCTAAACTGCCCTTAGGACTGCTTTATTTAGCTTGAATGTTGTAAATTGATAATGTAGTCTACAAAATTTAGTACAATATTTTAAATATTAAAGATTTTAATGGAAGCTTTTGCTGAAAGGAGAATATAAAGTAAGTCAAAAAATCTTCATGGGCTTCATGAATCAATTGATTCTGGGCAGCAATTGAACTAAGGTTCTGTCCACTATGTGGTCTAAAATCTTTGTCCATCTTTTGTTTCTTTTACTTCAGATCAATACTATAAATCATGTTTGTGAGAACAGAATTTCTCATTTTATTGTAGCTATAGTGTAGCAGAACTTGGGAAAGCAGTGTTTTACTTACAAGTGGTAAGTAAACCAGAGTGTTAAGCTGCATTTAGTTGAAAGAGGACACATTTGGTTTTCTTGGTTTAGGTTAATTTTAAAACTTTTTGGATTTGGACAGGAGAGTTCTGCTATTGTTAAAGGTACAAAAACAGAAAAATTGTTAGAAAGGCTTGGTTTGTTTTCTGATTCACTGTCTTAATGTTTTTTAAAAAGTAGCATTGGCTCTTAAATATGCTCTGCAGCAGTCATCCTAACATGATGATAAATGTCCTTTTCCCAGGTGATTCTCAATTCCATGTCTTCTTATCCAGAAAATGCACTACCAGAAAATACAAATGTATGAACTCGGTCTTTTCGCAGAAAGTGGTAAAAAATGACACGTGGGCACTTTGATTCCTTCCTTACTTTACAGGCAATCCTATCTCCATGTGGCTGTAAGCATGGGCTCCATCCTCAACTTGCAGCTCCCTTCTGACCTCTATTTTGTCTTCTTTTCACAGTTGTGCATCACATCAAGCGCCACAATATCGTACTTAAAAGAGAACTGGGAGAAGGAGCCTTTGGGAAGGTCTTTTTGGCAGAATGCTATAACCTGTGTCCTGAGCAGGGCAAGATCTTGGTTGCAGTGAAGGTAAAAGAGTCTAGGGTTACCATTATTAATTCATGGTTGCAACTCATGCTATTTTATTTGTAAATGGTCATGTTTACCTATTCCATAATCCCATGTAACTGTTCTGATACCTGTAGAAGAGTTCACAAGGCTAATAGAGTGTTAAGATAATTTGGTATTTGATCTTGCTGTGGATTATAAAATGAGACCTGAATCTCATAAGGAAAAGGGAGGAAACAGGTGGTGTCACGAGGTGGCAAAATCTTTTATGGTCTGTCTGAAGCATTATTAAATATAAAAAATAATATATAGAAAAATAATATCTAGGTCATTAAAAATGCATGTGTGTGTGTCTAAAAAATGATCTGTTACTAGCTAACCGAACAGGTTACGTGTATAATTTCTAGGCAAAGAACACCTTTCTGTTTCAGGACTGTGCCATTCTTTCAGTTTGCAACTGAAATTGTCGGTGGGTAGTTTTCATTAATGTAGCTTGGAGACCAAGCCTGCTTCTCTGCATGAAGCCTTTTTTGTCCCCCAGAATTCAAGAGCTGAGATTAGCTGTTGACCTTAGCTGTGGATGTAGCTAGAAAACAGTATTGGTGAAACTACACTCTCAGAGTTCAAAAACTTTCTCTGAAAACAACCTCTTATCTCCATCTGTAGTGTTCTCCTAAAAACTAAACTAAGTGTCCAGCATTTGAAATATCTCATTACATGCAGGGGGAATAGATGTCCAGAATTTGGACTGTGCCAAGTGACCAGAGAATAATTTTATCTGACAGGTCACAATTAGGCAACCATATGTGCATTTTGGATGAAACCACACAGTAAAAAAAAATCATATAGATCATCTTTTTAATTTGGTAACAAGAAATAGAGTCTTGAATCTGACAGTGGAAGAGCATGAAAGGAGTCTTGTAGAATGTTCCATCAAAAATAGTGGGGTTTTGGGTTTGCCAATGTAGTAGGCTTTTCAATACTTGGGAGTAGTTCAGTCATGTTGACTGGTGAGAAAAAAAATAAGCTCTGAAGAGATATAGCATAGACAGGAGAAAGCAAGCGATAAGAGACAACAAAGCTATATCTGATTAATTTTTTTTGTTGTATTTTGGTGAAGCTATAATGGAAATGGCCTTTATCACTTTAGGGAACTGCTTAATAGAAAAATAAAAGTATTTCCATTCACTTGCTCCCTTTGAAAATCCTGTCCAGATGGAACCTAGCACTTCTTCTGTTAAATGCTGCACTGCACTTTCTCTCTGCTGCTCATTCTTAGTGTAAATCAAATGGAAGAGTACTCTGCCTTTAAAGGTATATATGTCTCCATAGACCTAGATGACAAATCTATCCATCTTCTGGGCAAGTTGTCATACTATTTTGGTTTGGTTTGGTTTTTCTTTTTCGCTAAATCCTCACTGTATAGTGGCCTTAATAAAAATCTTGCAGGCGGCTCCTGGGAAGAACTACCTCTGGGAACAGGTTATGCCCATTTTATGTTTCTGTTATTGGCTCTTAAAGATGTGACTCTGTCTGTTGTCACAGAGCAATTTTTTTGGTGAACTGAGCCACTGGACTGATCTTCATATAACTGGGGGGTTAATTGCCTGATGTTTCTCTTCCACTGTGGGTACCAGCCACAGATAGCAGGTATCCCTCAGCCACAGTGGAGGTGAAGGGCTGGGGTCTCAACTGGAGTGCAGAGAGCTATCCTGTGTCTGGACTACAACTCTGAGCACAGGATTTGGCAGTTTTAGTCATAGAGGAGCAGACCTGGATGCCAGCAGCAGTAAGCAGCTCCTACTGGCACACAACAAGGTCTTCAGAGAGCTTCAGCTCCATGGGCAAAACCAGAGCACACCCATCACTATAAAACAGATTTGGTGAATCCAGTGGAAATAGGTACTTGCTGAAGAGTAAGGTGGTGCCAGGGAGATTCCAGCTGCAAGGAGGCACAGCCTCACCTGCACAATGAGGGTCACATTGGCTAGTGGTCCCTGTCAGCTCCCTGTGCCTGCCAGTTGCTGAAAAACTGAATGGCTTGTGCCTGGCCCTAAGCATGCCTCCTTCTAACTCAACATGTTCCCTTCTTATCAGCCAGCTGGTATCCAAAATGCTGATGTTGCTGCAGCAAATTATTTAGGAGCTAAGAAGCCCAGAAAAATCTGGGAAGATAAAAAATATCAGTCCTAGCATAAAATACCAAAGAGCTTGAGCTTTTGCTCCTTTAAAGAGGAGAAAGCCAATTTGTTTACATTGGTTTTGATTGACTTTTGGGGGCAACACGTGTTGCATTGTACTAGCATTGCCCCCAAAGCACATCATATCAGGACACCATTTGCTGCAGGCACTTTAAGAGAACAGAGGGTGAAGGAAGTTAAAAATACTGTTTTCTTGTGGGCCCATTTTATTATGTTTGTTCAGGCCTGGGTCAGTACTGTGTCCTCACAGGATTGGATCCCCAGGCACAGTCTCACACTAGTGTAGCTTGCCCAGAGTGGGAGGTGAGGCTGACAAGACGCAGGTTAGCAACTGTGCTTCTGGCTCCCCTGGGAGGTCTTGCTCAGCTAGCAGAGTGCTGTGTGTATGACATCAAGAACATTTCCATGGCACCTGCACAGGAAAATCAAAGGTTTCCAATTCTTCAGATGTTCAGTTCTGAGAAGGCTCAAAATGACCCCTTCATTTCTTGAGGAGACATACCATATGTTTATGGAAAGCAGTAGCAATTACCTTGTAGGAGAAGGCTGAAACAGTAGAAAGCAGTAGTAGTAGTCATGTAGCTTCCTTGAGAGTTTGGCTGCCAAGTCCTGCTGATGTTGGTGGCAGCCCCATCCTCCTGCTGTTGCTCTGACTGGCCCACGAAGGCAGCTCTGTGGTGTCAGAGTTCACACTCGCTGCAGGGCAGCACAAAACACACACAGTGCTGCTACCTGGACAAGGACTCTGTGGAGGAGAGTAAGTGTGGGCTGGTAGTCCAACTGTTACAAGGACGAACTTGGCAGATGTGGAGCTGCTGTAAGAGCCAGGGGCCCCTCTGCTTCCCAAGGAAGCTTGTTCCTCCTCTTCAACTGTGGGCCTGAGTGGCTGGGAAGCACATGTGATTGAATCTCAGATCCTGCTTGGGAAAACCTCCTGTCGACTGGTGAAAGTGCTTTGTATGCAGAGCTTTGGCATACTTGTCAGTAATGATAATAATAATTAATATGTCTTTCCTCTCTTTGTGCTCTCAGGGTTTTATTTTGTTTTTTTTCTTTTTTTTTCTTGTACTGAGAACAAGCTAAATGCATTACTCGATGTGATTTCTATGTAAATTCTACATACTTATTAATTTTTTTACCTTCCAGTCTCCTCCTTGCCTGACTGTGCCAACTCTCTCTCTCATGTCATTGTGTCAGTGTTTTATGCACTGCATGAAATAATGAAAAGGAGATTTTGCAATGGTGGGTGACAGAAATTCTAGTCAGCCCATGGTAGTAGAAACCCTGCATGAGTTTTCACCAGAGTTTTAGACTTTTCTGCATTTTGCTGTTTGACAGAAAATGTGGAATTGCCATGGCAACTGCTCTGTCATATGATAATTTTGCTGTTTCTGTGAGATAAAAAGCATCTTCTCAAATATACAATATGCCATCCTCACAGGACAGAGCTGTCAGCATTTTTACTGTCTTTCCAGGGAAAGAGCCTGTTGGAAAGAGGATCAGCCTCTGCTTCTCCCTTTCAGTTTTTTTCCAGATTGTTATTATTTAAAAATGGGTTTTGTGTTAATTGTTTTTCTAATTCTGTTGTTGAGAAGAATTACAGTCCAATCACTTCATGTATGAAACCACCAGAGGAAACTCAAGTGACAACAGAATTATTACCAGTGGTTTCAGAATATATAGCATACACTTGACTGTGGCTTGGTGCCTGTACCATGTTAAAGCATCATCCCAGAGCCTGGAGTATTGGAAGACACTTCCATTTCAGCCCTCACTCAGTTCAGATGCGATTGTGTGTAGACAGAGTGGGAAGCAAATTTGACATCCATGCTACAGCTGTGTGTTACTAACATATTGTGACTAGTGAAGCCTTGATGAGGCAATATCTTTGTTTCACCATTGGTAGGTCATATGGAGAAGGTATTCTGAGCCTGAAGGCATGTTAAGGTTCATAGGTATGTTCTTCAGGGGAAGGGATAGCTAAGGCATGAGTGATTTCTTTTGCCTCTAGGACCCACAGAGCCTGAAACCCACAGAGAAATGCCCCTGAACCCAGAAGACAGCAATCCATCCTGCCCTACTCCTTATCCCCCCATCTGAATTTTGTTATGGTAGCTATCCATTTTTCAAGGCCCAGAATTGCGGTATCACAAGTAAAGCACGTGTTTTTTCCAGCAGTCATATTCTAGGCTCTTCTTCACACATGCATACATCTAATACTAGAAAAGTGGACAGAATTGTCCCTGTTGAAGTAAAGGGTTGAACAGATCATGACTACTGCAGCTAAAACCTCAGTTTGTTGGCAGAACAATTGGACAGTATCAGCTTATTCTGTTTCTGTTCTGGTGAGTGTGGTTGGTCCTATGCTCTATATATCAATTCAGGATAGAAAGTGAAGTGTCTATATGGCCAGGAAAAAGGCATCTTTAATTAAAACATAGCCACTAGTTTTGTGTCTTATCTTCCATTGTATTAAACCTAGGTGTTGTTAAAATCTAGAGGTACAGAGCCCAGACAGCAGTTTCTGTGAAAAATAAATTTTGAATGTTGGTAACTTGCCATCTTTCTCTTGTGGTTTTAGAAATATTTTTTGAATTAGTATAGTGCAACCACTGTACCTCTTGACTATAGAGTCTATTAGTGGTTTATTGTCAATTATAATTATTCCTCATTTAATTGGTGTCTGAACTTGCTTTTTTTGTGCATGAAAGTGTTTTCTTGCTCATGAAATGTAGTTTGTAAGGAGAAATCAGAAACTGCTTAGGTGAGACAGTTAAATTAATATTATTTCATTATACAACTTTTAAGCCTCCTGTTTGATCCAGTGACACTCTCTGTGCATCTGCTTTCCTCCGTGTCTATCACTTTAGGATTTGACCTCCAGGTCAACCTGCCTGGATTGTTGCCTAATCTTAGTCATGTGAGTAGATTAACAGAATTTTGAAGAAGTTTCTGGCTGAAGTCTCAGGTTTTTCTGGTCCAGGGACATACTCTCATGTAAATCTACCTAATGTATAGCACACCACAGGGACTAATGTCAGCAGTACATAAAGAATGCATCCACATTACCACCATGCACTTCAAACAAGCAGATTTTTATTTTAAAGAACTAACAGGAAAGGTAAATACCAGCAGGATACTAGGGGTTGCTTGAGTTAAATGCTCAGGGATACAAACCAGCTGTGTACTAGTATATTTTTGGGATGAGATCAGTTTATTTGTTCTGTGTTTGGAAAACACTTGTCACAGTGAGAGCATGAGTATTCATACACTCTCTTACAAGAAAAGTGTTTGTTTGGGATAACATGTGGCAAGAGAATGAAAATTGTACTGCCATTATTTAATTGCACTTCAAGATCACATCTGCATTTCTAAAAGAGCTATTAAGAGAGTACTTCCTCCATCCTCTATGCTGTACTGTGTCCTTATCTTACCCTCACAGGGCTGTCCCACACGTTTCCTACCTTCCGTGAAAATCTGTCCTTCCTTACATTTTCATTTTCTCCACCAGACACTGAAGGATGCCAGTGACAATGCCCGCAAGGACTTCCACCGTGAGGCAGAACTGCTAACTAACCTGCAACATGAGCACATTGTCAAATTCTATGGTGTCTGTGTTGAGGGTGATCCACTCATCATGGTCTTTGAGTATATGAAGCATGGAGATCTTAACAAATTCCTCAGGTAAATCCATGAACAAATATTTTGATTCTGAGCCAAAAGTGGGCAGAAAAGGTAGGTGTTACTGGTACTTAATGTTAAATTAACAACTACCACTGGAAAAAGTTGACACTTTGGAAAACAAATTGTATGACTGGTGTTTTGTACCAGGATGTGGGGCTCTCTTTCTTTGCCTGTTTGGAAGTACCATAAAATGAAGTTTTATATCAAAGAAATATTGTTTCCTGTGTATTTCAGTGTATTCTGAAATGTTTGGTTATAAATCCTACAGTAGGAACGATTTTATTACAGGCTTTCTGATAACACTTGGAAGATCCCACTCAACACCTTTTGCTATCTGTAGGTGTCAAAGAGCTTCTGAAGTCTAACCCCTTTTCTCTTCCCTCCTCTCACTCTTTTGGAAAGACTGCTATAAATCTGCAGCAAGAAAACTGTGAGCTGTGGAAACTTCTTCTAGTTGGAAAATGCTATACTTTGGGGTCCAGATTAGGGCTTTATTTCATAAAGCTATTCAGGAACGTGCACAGGAAATCAAAATTTGGCAGTAGAGCAGTTATAAGTAAATAGATGATACATAAGGTTCACAATAATAGGTAACCCATGATCCAGGAAGTTATGAACAGAGGCCTCGTGTATGTGCCATTTCTACTAGCTTGCACTTTTTGACATAAAAATAAACAGTTAAGAGATAGCATTTGCTTCTATGTCAAAAATGTAAGACTATTCTTTCCATGTCTACTGTGTAATTTTATCAATAGATATCGCCAAGGAATTTCAACATACAGACGTCTTTCCTGCTAAAGGTAGCTAAGGATATCACCATTTTGGAAAGATATCTCTAACAAAGCTGTAAAACAATCAGAACAGATTGTTACAGAGATGTCCTGTTAAATGGATTTATATTTTCTATATAACTGAAATTACTATGATTGCTAATGCTGCCATTTATGGCATATGTGAAATGAGTTTACTGTCTCTCTACTGCCTCTTGAAAAAATAGCCACACCATAACACAAATGGCATCAACTAGCATCTTCCCTTACTGGCAGGGTTGACAGGTTTGATGAAGAAACTGGGATCTGAACTGGAGATGCAGAGCAAACACTACTATTCTTCCCAGACTGACTGTCTCTCTGGCAAAGGATTTAAGTTTGTTTAAGAATTAAGGGCATTTACATTTGTCTCCTTGGTCTTCTTCTATGAATCAGGAGAGAGCTGCAGTTTCCCTAGATGCCACCCTAGTGCATTTTCAGAACACTGAATTTCTGTTAGAAGAAGCCAGATTCTCTGTTGATGAGAAATAATTTCTTACTCCATAAGAAATATCTACATCTTGATTCTTTTTGATTCGCCTTTTCTTACGTTGTAACTCTGATTTTGAGTTATTGTACAGAAAACTATTTTGGCAGACAGTATATTTCTTACTTTAATGCCTTCACGTTTAAAAAAACTATTAATCAGCCCTTGTCTTTAGAACATAAAATGATTATGCTGGGACAAGCTGTTAAACCTAAGCTCCAATTTGTCATTCCTCTCACATTTTCTGCAGCTTGTGCTGCAGACCAGAGGTTCGTAAAGTGGGCTGTTCCATATTTCTTACCCTGCAGCGCCACCAAAGGCTGTTGGGGAAAAATTGATGTGAAAATTTAACCCAAATGAGCCTGGCTGCCTGCATGCAGCCAAAGGCTGTTCGGATTTAGGACTAAAGCCCCAAACTTGTGCCTGCCCAGTGCTTGGTGTGTGGACTAGTGGACAATGTGGCTGCAGAGACTATCTGTCAAAGTCCCTGGCTGTTGCAGACACCTCATTTCTGAAGATCACCTCATTTATGGCCAGCGCAAAGCGGACGAGCAAGCTGGGTGGAACATTAAGAATAATCTACAGATTCCCTTAGATACAGACCATGTCCTCAGGGAGACTAGCAAAAGATGAAAAGTTCTCTGATTTAGAAGCTCAGAGGTTCATGTCTGAGAGCACTTATTAAAAAAAAAATCCATGCATGATAAAGGTACGCTATTTTTCAGTAGGAATTTGCTTGTGACTTTTAGTTGGAGATTTCATATCTTCCATTTATTCCTACCCTCATTAACCTAGTCCAGATGAAAGGCAGCTTGAACAGACCCTATGGCAGAAAGCTGCTTTGCCTGGTACCAGATACAGTCCCATCAATGCTACACACCCTCCTTTGTTTCTTTCTCACGTCTGTCACTTTGCTCATGAAATTCTTCCCTTGGGGCAATTTTAACATCATATTTCTAATTGGTAGTGTCAGATTTGGTCTCAAAGATTTTGATTAATTTGGAACTCTTTTCCAAACTCCTGTGCCCTTACCCTAGAGAAAAATTAAGGCCTCACCTCTGTTGAGGAGGGAAGAGAAGAGGGGATCTCTTCGAAAGAGTACTTTTCAGAAATGGAATAAAAAAAGGGCTTCTGAAAACACAGAAAAATAGAATGGATGGAAAAGGATATTTAGAACATTACAAAATGTATCAAATGAGGAATGATTTCCAAATTACCTCATTGATTGGAAAGGATTAGCTAGTAGTTCTTCCTGTAAAACATTGTTAATATGACTGTTTATATATCTGTATCTTCAAGATCCTAGGATGTAAAGGCATACCAGAGCTCAGATAGTTAAGATGGGTAAAGCTCATGTGTCTCAGTACTACACTGAGCTTTCCTAATGCAAAATATCTCTGTTTTTGATGAAGTGTTTTTAAGCAGTTGATTATTGCTTCTTAGGGACTTGCTAGGTCTTGAAAAACTCATATTTCTGAAGCTATTTTGTTTTTCCAAGTAGTGTGTGTTTTGTGTCCTCTTCCTGTTGTAAATAATTCCAGTCTCAGGCAGGACTCACTCTTGGTGATGAAATAAGCAAAAATCCTTTCCTGCTGTGCATTTGGATAGGAAATCAGAAGTATAAATTTAAAATTTCTGCCCTTGTTTCTCAAATGGAGAAGGAAGTTGGCTCTTTCTTGTTTAAGAAAAGATGGAAGGGTCAGTGGCCTGTATCCCTATAGAAATGAAGGAATGCCAGTCACAGGAAAAGTGATGCTGTGCATGCCACTTCATTGCCTTTCCCTCAATTGTTTTTCGGTCTTACAGAGTGATAAGACTTTCCCTTGGTTCCCAAGCAGGTTTGTTTGTCAGCCTTTCTCCAGAAAAATTACTAGAATGGAACAGGAGAAAAGTGATGCTTTCTGACAGATGGGTACTATTGTGAACACATATGCCTTATTTCCTTGAGTAATATATATCCAGTTTGTAATGCTCTTCAGAACACCAGTCTTTCACCAATGAAGGAAGACAGTAAATGAAAAAAGCTGAGACAAAAAAAAATAATCCCTATTTCAATAAGTAATTTATAGCACTTTTGATGGAGTTGTGTGGGCTGACACTCACTAATGCCTTTCACTTCTCCATCTTACAAGTGGCCTGTCAGTTTATCAGATTGTGTTTTGGTGCAGGGCACATGGACCTGATGCAGGACTGATGGCAGAAGGCAACCGTCCTGCTGAGCTGACCCAATCCCAGATGCTTCACATTGCCCAGCAGATTGCTTCTGGTATGGTTTACCTGGCATCGCAGCACTTCGTGCATCGGGATCTTGCTACCCGGAATTGTCTGGTTGGTGAAAACCTGCTGGTGAAGATTGGGGATTTTGGGATGTCTAGAGATGTGTACAGCACAGACTACTATCGGGTAAGTGAACTGCTGTAATAAGTAAAAACCTAGGTCTTGTTCAGTCTTCTTACCACTTTGCTGTGACTGATTCTGCTTTTACACTTAACCATCTGTCTGTCAGGTAATTTAGAGCCTAGCATATGGAGAGCCTGGTTCTGAATTAAAAGGTTTTTGTAAATGTGGAGAGTTAATCAGAGTAGTTTGTCGTGTTTTGTTGTTTGTATATGTTGGATTTAGATTCTAAATCACAGAAAGGTCTTTTTCTCACGATGAAAATTTTGCATGTTTGCTTGGCATGAGTCAAGAAGCAGCAGATGAAAAGGAAGAAAATTTGGCCCAACACTTTGAAGCTATTAAAATACGTTCTTAAATATTGCTAAGAAAAATGAAAATGGTATCTTTGGGGAGCAGTTGTATAATGTGTCAGTTAACTGGAGAAAACGTAAGTACTGGGAAGCAGACATGACCAGTTATTTTACTCAGGAAGAGATTAGGTGAGAAGTTGTTGTATACTCAGCACCTGAAAGCTTTTCCTGCCATAAGCCAGGTCTTTAGTCCTCCTTCTAAATGTTGAAGAGCTGTTTTGCAGAGGGTAAGAGTAGCCCATTGCTCTTTTTCATTCTGACTGTTTTCCCTGAGCTTGGTTGCCATAAAGTGGTATACTGAATTTTGTAAAGACCTTCTGAGATTGCTGGGATAAACAAACTGTGCGTATTAATGATGTTGTTGACATAGTATTTGTGCTATGTGGTAAGTTATGGAGTTGACACCATTTGCTGTTTGTTATCACATTTGTAGTTTCATGATTGGAACTGAACCTGTCAGGTGTTTGTTTTGTAGTTTCATGATTGGTTGAGGCTGGGTAGACAGGATAGAGGAAGCTACGCATTTGAAAATTATTGTTGAACACTGATTCACTTAAAAGCTCATAAGTAACAGCCTCCCCTCTTAATTTTCTTTCCTTTCAAAGACAAACCTAGTATTTAGTAAACATATGATCGAAATTCTTCTTATATATTGTTATTTTGGAAACTGGGACTTTGAATTATTTGTTCAATGTCGAACAAGCATGACTGCACTTCAGAGCTTGAAAAAAATATACATGATGGTAATAACTTCCTCTGTGGTTTAAAGGACACGAGTGAGCAGAGGCTGAGGTTTCTTGATTTTGCATCTGATTTTGCATATTACATCTTTGCACCACTTATTGGGACTGAAGTCATGTCTCTGTTCCATACCTCAGTGTTTATTGTGTTAGTCGTTACATTTAAGAGCGAATGTATATGCAAAACAGTATGTGTTTCCAAAGGTTGTTACAGTAAGAGGAAACATTTTTGAACATACTCTTTGCTTATTTTTGGAAAAAAAAAAAATAGTGACTCCCCCTGCTGCATAAAAACTACCTGCAAAAGGGGGTAGAAGCTCAGTAATCATATGGCTTTCCTGGAGACAACTGAGGCCTGGTTTGGGCATGTGATGGTGCACAGACCCTGGCATCAGTGTACCTGCTCACATACCTCTGGGTTTAATCCTCAAGTCTTACACGAGTACTCAAGCAAAGCTTCCTACCCACTGTAACACAAATTTAGAACACCAGTGACCTTGTAAAAGCAGGAGTTCAGGAAATTCTGGGTAACCTGGATAGTCCTTCGGCGCCTCTCAAAGGATCTCATTTAAGGGGTACTTTGTACTTCTCACTGTCCTTCATACAGAATTGCTCTCTTCTTTCCTTCTTCTCTCCCTTATCTTCACTTATTTTTGAAGGCATAAGAGGGCTTCTGTGAGGTCCAGGGTGTAACAAAGTGGAAGAAAGAGGTAGTAGTGTGAAGATAATGCAACCATTGATGTGAGAGAGGGAACAAGTAAGGTGGGAAAGGCAGTCATAGAGAGGTGTTAGAAAGGTGTTCTGAAAGACAGAAATGTGAATGAAGAGAGAAAGAGGTAAACAAGTGTCAAAAGGGACAATGTAAAATAGAATGGCCCCATCCAAACTGGTGGTGTAAGCATGCAGAGTGATGGAAACATCAAGCTGGGAAGTTGCTTGTTCTACACAGTAATAAAAGCAAGAAGGATAATTTCTTTGGAGCCTCATGGTCCAGCTGGTTTTTAATTAGTTTCTAATAAGTGCAGAGGAGGGACAGAGCCACAGCCTGCCATGCCACCATATTTCATACTTGATAAAAGTTGGAAGTTCCAGTTGAGCCTGTGAAGTTTTGGCCTGCCCTTTCTGGGGTATCTGTGGGCTGGTCAGAAGACGGTCATGAAAAAATCAAGGCAATGATGAATTCCCAGATGGCTGCCAGGAGAATTGCATCCTTGACAGGCCTAAATCAGTGATAACACTGGAATGGCAGTGACATACCATACCTAATTGCTTAAAGCAGGCTAAGTCTTTTTAACCGTTCAGGCTTAATCACTCAGAGAGAAGCAAATCGTCCCCAACCCTGACAGCTTTATCTGATGCTCATTGGAGAGACTTAAACAATTCCAAAAAGTTCTGCAAGATATAGTTCATAATTTGTGGGTTTTAATACACAGGGATTGTGTTTTTTTTGGAGCCTGCCACTCAGTCATGATGTTAGATTTGCCCAAGATGATTATTTATAGCTTGCTTCTGTAAGATAAGGATGATCCCAAGTCATTGTGCACTGTTAGATTGTTAATGACATTCTGCATCAAATCAGCTCAGCTGTTAAGAGATGCTTCAGGGAAGAGGGGGAGAGAAGTAACCCTTGGACTGGGAATACATGTGATGTGTGGCCCTGAAAAGCTTTCCTTTTCTCCCTCTTAATTTTTTTTTCTCTTTTTCATCATGCAGGAGTCTTGTGGGTGGGAGAAGTCCAGATGTACATGCTAGCATCCAGTGTAACAGCAATAGGTTTTGATAGTCAGACCAGATTAGCCTGGGGACATGAAGAAACTGCAAAAGCTTTTCTTACCCAAAAGTGCTCTACACCCCAGGCCAAAGTTAAACAACTGTCAAGTAATTGGTTTGGTCTGTGAGCCAAACAGCTCCAGCAACACTGCTGCACTGCAATCCTTATAGCATAAAAGATCCTTTCACAAAGTTATTTACTTGCAGAGCTTAGGTCTTAAGTTTATTAGGGGGTTTGTTGATGTCTGGGGTCTGTTGTTTGATTTGCTATGCCCAGAGGTCAGGATTTCCTATCTTACTCTAAGATACCCAGGTAACGCTTTAAAGTAGCTTTCAGTGCTTTTAAGTGTTGACACTGAAGCCTGTGAAGAGCTATTTTGTTGTTACTTTTTTCTTGCATTCAGAGGTAACATATCAGAGTCTTTTTAGGTTTCCAGTTCAGGTTTGCAAGTGATTGCCTAGTACTTGGTCTTAAAATAAATTAATTTCTTAATTATAAGCAAAAAGCTTGAAAAAAAAAAGTAGAAGTCGTCTTATCCCAGTACTTGGAAAAACTTAACACGGATATACTTTAAATATGCAGTCTGGTCAGCCAACTACAGGCTTGAGCCAAGGTTTTGGATAAAACTGTGATCTCACCAGACTAAGCAAGAGTTTTCCCATTAACTTCATTAGGACCAGAGTTTCAGCCTTCCTCAGTTTTATGTTTGTCCAGTGAAGGATAGACATTCTGTTTCTTATTTAGATTTATGGAGCTCAGTTTTGTAATCCCTGTTTAGCTATTGTATAACCTACTTGCCTTTATGTAACAGCACAAGAACAGCAGAGAAAATATGGACTCCTTTTCTCAGCTTGCACAAACCACTCAAAACTCTGTCAAAAGACTGGGCCTAGTGAGATTTCTGTCTTCCTTTAGGCCCAGCTTGCCTCTGAACCTAAGAGAGGTTCACAAATTAGTTTCCTTCACATCTGGCACAGATTCAACAGAAGACTAAGAGGATGTGTTCCAGCATAAATTTCACTGACTCCATTTCTCTTTAAAATCTTCTCCACGTTTTGTACCATTTTGCTATTTAAAGAGAGCATAGCATGTCAGATTGTAAGAAGAGACAAAGGTTACTATGCCTCTTTTACTCTTGAAGGAAGCCACGCAATAGGTGTTAAGGGTAGGAGCAACAAGAACCTCTCCCTCATCATGCTGCCAGTAAAACACTCACTAGTACTTTAGCTCCTTCTGTTTAAGACACCAAGCCCCATAAAAATTCTTGTCTGCCAGGGAAAAAGAGAAGATTTCAAAAGTGTCCTAAGCACTTAAAGAGAAACTATGTTTGGCAAAAATTCCTGAGAGATCTTAGGTAGTCAGTCACACCTGACACACAGCAAGATGTGACAGCAATCCCCATCAGACATTTCTGTGAAAATCATCTTCTGAACTGGTGAACCGGAAAAAGCTATGTGGGCCCAAGCCAGCTGCACCAGTCTGTGGCATAGCTTGCATTTGGTGATGCCTCTCAGAGCACATCTGTCCATGTTGCCTGTCCTCAGCACCTTGGAGCAGTGTGGGAACCAAAGATGATCCAGAATCATATAATACCACGAGAGGAAAAACAAATAGACAAGTCCTGAAAAAAACCTTTAGTTGAAAAAGTTAATAAGATGCAGCCTGCAAAATGTTGACAGGCATCTTCTCAAATACCTCTCAGGTACAGACCTGGATAGCAGCAGGCTTTCTAAAGCCTGGAATTCTAACTCCTGAATCACTCCTCTATGGTCACACAGCCCCTTCTCTCAAAGTGGATGCTGCAAATAAGTAGAATCCTGTGCTGCCAGTGCTTTTTCCAGAAGGCTACACAACAGCTTCTCTGTCCTAACAGCTGCATTTTTAAAGATTTTTTTAAAATCCAGCAACCTGAATTAACTCATGAGCAATAGACACCTACTGAATCACATCATTCTACTCTCTTTCCAGCCTTTAAATATCAATTGTATTTAAAGAAACTACTCCTGTCCCCTATCAGACTGTTTCAGAGGGTTAAAAAGGCCCACTGTCAGAGAAAAAAGTGTCTTCATTTTTTTTCTCCCTCACTAGCTTTCTCCAATGATTTTCACTGTGCAAAAACACAGTATTTGTATCTCTTTCTGG